ATTATTATTAAGAATAGAAAACGACTGCAACAAAACAAAGAAGCATGCGAATCATTACATCTTTAGAAACACGGAGTGATTGACATAGGTAGCCTTTTCCATTAGGTAGAGTTTCAATTACAAACCAAGGTGAAAACAATTTTTCGAAATTAAATGACAGGTAAGTCACTCAGGATCAGGTGTTTTCAGAATTCAGTGAGCTCAGGAAACCAGACAGGCACGCTAATATAAAATACTAAACATTGATAGAGACATGAAGAGAACGACGTGACGTGAATCCGAAAAGTGTTTTGATTCCTCAAAGAGTAAGAGTTTTTTTCAATGACTTAGACTGATCACATGTTAACTCTTTCTGGCGATTCGCTGATCAATTTAAGCTCTCCTTAGTTTCTTTTCTTGTGTGTCACAGAACTGTTTTTGAGGCTGCCGTAACAGCTGAGAGAATCCGACAGACACATTGGACAAGACACTGGCAAGGTACGATCGAAAATTTAAAAGCAATATATTCCGGTCTCAATTAAAATCAGTTTCACTAAAATACTTAGTGGATATAAAAAAAGATATTTAGACATGTTTCGCAACTACCTCTGTTACGTCCAATTGAATTGCTCATACTCGTGGCTGCCAAGGAAAGAAAAACTAAACGCTGGCCGATCAGTACATAAAGAAATGACTTTCTTTTTTTTTTTTTTTTTTTAAAAAAATCAATTTTAGCATCAACACCGTTGCTGGGATTTTGCTACTGCAGAAGTTAGGTTGATTTCCTACTCGGAACCAACCTACAGTCATCTTGCGATATTTCGACCCTTCAAGGGAAATTAAAAGGAGGTTCGAGTTATCGGCCGAGTCGAGTGAAAATGGAACAATACATTTCTAAATTACTGTATAAATCAGAACATATAAACGTAATGGGAAACTAAAGAAAGCAAGGCAAAGCAGCAGGAGATGTCTAACTTTGCTGGTTTCGAAGAAAAACTAGAAAAAGTCAGTCCGACTGCGACAGAGTTCATGCGATTGACTTTTAAGAGAAATAGCCTCTAAATTCAATGTTTTAGGCCTCAGCCTGATTGTTTTGAGTTGTCACGCATTGACAAACATGGTTGGAGTTATCGAGGGTAAATTTATGTAGAAAATTACCTGAAGGGAAACGAAAATTGCTTCGAGTTATCGAGGGTTCGAGCTACTAAGGGCAAAATTAAAGTAAACGTATGACGACAATCCACTGGCGAAGGGAGCTTGGTTCGAGCTATCGGGAGTGTACTGTATGTACTTCTTTGAGACGGTTTTTGCATACTGACTGCGTAACTGTTAACTTCTCAAGAGAGTACTTCCGACTATCCGCCAGCTATTGACCATTTAAAGTTGTGCCATTAAAATTTCGACAACGTTTTTGTGTAGTTACTGAGCTACTGAAAAACTCCTAATTCAAATTCAAATTCAAACGTGTCACTCTTTCCTTTCTACTTTAGTTATGTAAACAAAGACGAAGGAAAAAAGTAACACGTTTGAATGAGAGCCCTTTTCAAGGTTTTTCAGTTGCAAGACACGGTGCTTTTGTCTGAGGCTCACTGCAAAACTTATCAAACGTTCCCATCAGCTAAGTAGTTAATTACCCGTCTCTAATACCCAGGTCTTTTAACCGACTTCAAACAGCACGTAGCCTTCAGCCGATTACTACGCGCCTCGTCTGGATGAAAATAAAATAGAACAGCGGTGGTAAAAGGTTTCGTTTGGTCTCGTTAAGATCGATATCAATCATCAAAGAGAATAGCAAACCCTGACAAACTTCACTTCGTGAACCAACTCTTCCGGCACTACTGCTCTCAATCCCCGATTGCTGGCTAAAGCCTCTGCAGGTAAGTTTACCTATGGTTTCAACTTCTTTAATTTTTCAGAAGGACATTACAATATAGCGTATTATATTTCGGTTTTCGAATGTATTTGGTGTCTTGATCGTGATAAGGAAACTTTGGAGCCAGCCTGGAGGCATTAAAGCTTGAAATGACGCACATAACCTCTTACAGAAATGTTGTTAGCATCGAACATACGGCTGGTGCTGTTTTTGTTGTTTTTTGGCTAGTTTTGCCGTTTAGAGAAAGGAAGAATTTTATATGGTCTAACCAAAAGCATATAATTATATTGTATTGTATTTACAGATTTTCAACACAAAAAAAACTTCCTTTCTGAATCTCATCCTCGGATTTATTCTTAAAATATTCTTACAATTTCGCAAACTTCAGCCCCGATATTCTTATAAAACATTTTCTTACAGAAGAGAGTGTATTCGCTAATAGATAGCAGCGAGTGAGTTTTTAAAGCAACTTCTTGCTATACATTTCAAAATTCAGGTTCATTCACCGCAACCAGCTTCAACTGATTAATTATTATTCCACAGATAAGGAATGTTCACCACACAGATTTCATTCATGCATTCATTATAAATTGTTGTGTCTACTGTGGGTGTTCTGTCAAATTTAACCCAAACCGGCCTTTTAATATAGTAACCAGCCGAGCGAGCACAGAATGCTAAGGCAAAATGTTTTTGCTTTCCAGTGTAAAAAGCATGGGATGTCTTAAGATTACCAAAGTAATTTTTCTCTTTATACCGAATGTCTCACATAAATAAATAAATAAATAAATAAATAAATAAATAAATAAATCACGAGAGTTGTCATCGAGATAACCTGGCCTTTTCTTCTCGCGCGCTACGGACTACACAAGGGCCGGCGAAAACTACACGGTCAAGCTTTGGATCTTTGGCGACGCGTTATGTCAATTGCCGTAACATATTTTGCGCGAAGCTAAAAGGAGAGGTTGACTTGAGTCTGACTGATTGCGTGACCTTTTGCTCGATGAGGTTTTGCCGAGTCGCAACTTCATTTTCTTGCCGGTGTTTTTCTCTCCTCGGTCTATATTCATGACTTGAAGGACGGGATACTTGAAAATCCTTGGTAGGTGTTGAAGTCAAATACAAGAGTGTACGTTGTAAATTATCTAAGGATACGAATACGTTTTCATATCTTGCTAGCTTAAAAGCAAATGACGGTATCTACTCCATAAGAGCATCAAACCACAAAGCTGTCTAGAATTCAAATATGTACTGTTCGACTTCGCTTATCTCTGTTTTACAAAACAGAGCTTAAAAGATAACTTATAATCTATGACAGTTTGCCTGACTCATGCATAGGCTTAGGACAGCCGGAAACGCCGTATTTTATCAAGAAGTATTTTAGTTTCTCGTTGCCTTGGAGGAATTTCCGTATTGAAAAGAATCTAGGTCCAATTAGCCCAAAGGCTTAGTCTGATAAAGTTATTTTATAATTAGGCGTACTGACGGTGTCCAGGTTGTGTCCATAATGACTGATATTAATCAACAGCTGGATTGTGACTAGAGCCAGAGAGCATATATAACCTCCCCTGGGGGAGGAACTTTCAAGTTTCAGGTGAAAAGGTTGGGGATGCTCGTCGGAAAATTTGAATCAGACCCCGAAAGGAAACCAAACTGGGCGTGGCTCGAGGATAATTTGACCCCTAAAGGATACCACTTCAAAACGGACGTGACATCTTTTTTATTATTATTATTTCTTCGAAGCAACACTAAATCCGTGATTTACACTCCTAAGCGAGACGAGCACGGCGTCCCCTACCTGTTCACAAGGGGTCTTCCCTCCCCCTCCTGAAAATTCTCTCAGGTTCATTCTCCTGTGTGACTCCCCCTAAAGGCTAATTGTACGAAAGGTAAAATCACCGGAAATATGAACCAGCCGCTGCACACGCATTCATTTTGTCAGTACAGCGCGGGAAATCGCTTCGCGCGCGAGGGCTGTTTAGTCGACGCGCGAGGTTGAGTGTTGCATGTTGACAGGAGACTTTCGCAGTGTAGAAGGCCATACTTTTGGCTTTGTTTCTCGTCGATCAGTTTTTTATTTTTCCGTTAAGCGTTTTCTTCAGCTGTGAACTGACCTAGAGAGAAACGAGCCGGAGCGCGAACTCCAGGTTAGGAACATGCGAATCAAATGTCGTTTTCAAATGTGTACTTTAGCACTTTTCGTTAAAAACTCTGCCGGCACTGCGTGCAATTGTAATCCATTCTCTGCAAATGCAACTTTCAGTTCCTCGATACTAGCACAGATTTCAACTTTTGGAAACTTGTTATTATTTATCGTGCTGTTTTTTCTTTTTCTTTTTGCACTCAAACCATATGTACGCCTTAACGTTCTTGCTGTGGGGCAGGTGAATGTGGGCGAGTGATTATTGTAAACTTCAAGGTGCAGTTTGTTTCATATCCTGTCGTAAAAAACCCCACTGCTTGGTAACGGTCATTAAACAATTTAAGTTTACTTTAAGTAAAAAAGTGCGGCAAAAGGCCTGAATATTCTTCTGCCATGATTATTTCTTAGCAATAGATGGACCGCCAAGCCATTCACTGATGACAAATAGAGATGTTGTCAACATGCTTTTAGCACCCCGGAGCCTCACACTGGAAGCGAAGTAATAAAGAAATTTACCTTTTCCTAAACATTTGACAAAACAGACCTCAATTTATATAGCTCAAGAATATCGACCGTTACTCTTGCCGGTGAATTGTCTTTTGTCATTTTATCATTTTATAGAGTGTATCAAAATTATTTTTTTCCACTAAAACCGGACAGACCAATATTTTGATGGTCAGTTCGATCGACGCGCGCAGTGTGAACATTTAGGCCTGCTGATGAGAGCTGTAGTTAAACTGTATATTAGGACAGTGATGTAAAAAACAAATTTTTTCTCTTGAACAAGAGAGAAACAGAAAACAGTCTCAAATAGTCACAAATTAACATAAAAAAATTATGAGTTACTTATTCTTAACACAAAGTAATCTATTAAAAGAAATTGCTTCTCGAACTAATGGGAAAGAAACCTTTTTGTGGTCAAAACTAAAAATTATAATGCTCGTTTCCGCCTCTATTCCTTTTAAAACTCGGTTCATCTTCCAATTTGTCAAACTGAATCGTAACCAGATTCGATACCACAATAAGGTATGCGTTTGAGAACACTGAAAAGGAAACTGTAAAATATTCTAGTTTAAAGTTTTTTAGTTTTTTTTTTTGACATTTCATGTTATCCGTCATATTTCATTAGATATATGTTTGCACTCTCATCAGCTGTGTATTTGTTTATACAAGTTTGAGAACTTGCATTGAAAGACAGTACATGACAATTATCATTCTGCAGTTCAGGAGTGCTAACACATGTTGTTTTTCATGCTAGGTATTTTTCACAGATAGTTAAGTGATGTGTGCGAGGTAATTTTGCTAGGAATCAAGGAGATCTGAATGAGACCTGCGACAAAACAGCTGATCCCTGCGCAACGTGATCCGATAGAGGAGACTTTTGACTCAAAAAGAGGTAAATTTGTAAAGCACTATAACTCTTTACCTTTGCCTTTTCTAAATCTTTATCAGAAAAAATTGTCCCTTATATACTGTTTACACTCCCTTTTTAAGACGTTTCTTCACAACGACGAAAGGACCGAGCTGAAATTGATTCTAATATAGTATACATGTAAGAATGGCCGTCGAAAAGATACTTTCACCTGAATTCAGTTAAAAGGTCAGCTTGTTTAATTTTGCTAGTTTGTTAACCTTCGAGCAAGACGTTCTCCAGGAAACGTGTTCTTCGTCGTTATTTACAAAGCTAACTTGTCAGTCTTCACACTTAGTAAAGACATGAAAATGGGCGTGTTTATTCATACGAAGTACTTTTTTCTCATTGGTAATTCTGCTCATTTAAAAGCTATTTTTTCCAACCTCTTTCATTTCAATACGGAGCGAGTCTTTCATAGTTTGACACCAAAATTTTCTGTTATAAATGTTTGCATCACCTGTGTGGCCCTGAATTTTAAACTGAGCGGCCGAAAATTAAGAAAATGCGTTCATTATAGTGTTCAATGTGGTCCACGACTCCAGCTGGTTTACCCGAATATTGAAATAAATTGATACCCCCTGGAAAATACATGATATGCGCGTCAATGCAAAGAACATCAGTGCACGAAGCAAGCCCTTGCATGTATATACCTTAATGTATGACTGGTCCGGAAGCTTCTTTTATTATTTTTTATTATTTTTAGTGTTTTTCAATGGCATGTCAAAATTTCAAGTCCATCCTTCCATCAACGACTGTCATGTCGAAAGGAACGTGACCATGGTTTACACTTTCCTAATTGTGGAATACATTATCCTGGCACGTGCTGTTTGCTGTTGATTTATTTAGCAGGTTACGTTCGGAATTACGTCAATTAAGAATACTTCCACGGAGATTGTCGCAAGTTACTGCCAATTCATGCTGGGAGTAAACGTGATATTTTAACACCGACCACGAAAGCTGTTATCTAATTTGTCACATAAAAATTTTAGTACAGTTTATACAGTACAGTTTGAAAGTTGCCGATTTCACCATGATCTTGTGGACACGCCTGACCGTGTTCCCCTAAGTGTGCGCATCGACTGGTCTTCTCAGTCAGTGTTAATCAGTCCAGTGTTTTTTGTCGTAAAACAGGCTCAGGAAAACCCTCAAAGTAACGTAAACTAACTCTTCCTAGTCTAACCCAAGAACCATTCATTTTATATGAGTATAGAACCCTAAGAACGTTCAGTCTGAGAAAAGCCAAAAGCTAGAGAAAATCCCAAGAACGACCTTAAGGCTAAAAGTGTGAGGACATTCCTAATTTTGTCCGTCATATATCAAAATTTTAAATGCACGTTAGTCAGAATCCGAGAAAAGTACACGTAAGAACATGTTCAAGGTCAATTCCGCATGAGTCAGCATTTCGAAGCATAAAACAGGATATATAAACAGAAAGCTGTTCTCAAGATAACTCTGCTGTAACGATGACGTAAATGACGAAATGTAGTTTGAAATTTTTCGCACGTTTGCTTATCAGAGCGTCATCAGTCGTGTCCTCCGCAACAAATGCAAATTAGTTAGCGATGGCAGGTTATAAATGATGTTTATTATCGAAAACTGCCGCACAAGTCGCCTCGATTAGTGTGAACACTTCTCAAGTTTGCAGAATTTACCAACATACGGCTAGAAATATTCCGCTTGAAAAATATCTGATGGGTTCGAATACTATGCTATAGGAGAGGTGATAGTTCATGATTATTAGCTTTCTTTCAGTGGGTTAAATAAATAAAGCTGGTTTTTGAAATTGTGTTGGAGAAAGATTTTTAAACTCTTGGCATGTAAAACACGCGCAAAGTTCTTAGTTTAGGTTTGTCTGTGCTACACAACCATTGTGTGAATTACACTTCGAAATGAAAACAAAATTAACACGCGACAGAATTTTCTCACAGGTTAAATAAATTTTCAGTAAACTAATTACGAACTTGCTAACGAAAGCCTGGATGACGAGACCTTATTGTTTGAGATCTGATTGCGTTGAAACTTCGTTTATACGAGAGCAAGCAATGATTACTTGAATTGTCTTGCAAACTTAAGAAAACGATTCGTTCACCGCACGGAGGCAATCTGCAGAAAAACCAAGCACGTATTGGTAATTGCAGTATTAGCGCTTCGCTCGTCGCCACTATCTTGCGCATGCGTAACGTTGTCGTTTTTTGTTGACATATCAAATGTAAATCAGTATTTTATCGATTTCAAAGAGGATTTAAAACAATACAGGATTCATAATAATAAAACGATCACTATGAAATGTAAGCATGGCATATGGGCTTTGTTTCAAAATACAGCTATATCCGGCTTATTTAATTGCAGTTCTTTTTTTCTCGAGGATCTGAAAAATCTCAACTGATTATTTCTTAATTCGATTTAAACCACCCAATGCTTACTCTGAGGCTTAACTAACGAGTAATAACTGGTGATTATGGTTTCTCGAGTCTTCCTATATCACTAAACAGCTAGGTAAGTTAGTACGGTTTAATATAACTACCCAAATGCTCAATTTTGTGCTCTAGGGCTCTATACTGCCTCGTGTTGTACAGAAATTTTTCCTTGATAACATCACCGCAAAAACGCAGGGCGCGCTGGTTTCGTTCCGTGCCATTTTGCTTTTAATGTTCCACTTTCTATTAAAGCTTTTTTACAGTCAGTTCAATATTCAGCTGAACGCCTATGTATTAGCCTTTTTCATGTCGCCAGGACAATTACCTTTTGTAAATATAATGTCATCCGGAGGGTGTCAGAAAAATGAATATGCATTGCCTTAGTTCCAAATGACGAGCGGTTGTCCTGAATACACTACAACTTTTAACATCAGGCAGGATTAGTGCTTTGATGAATTCTGACTTGCTGTCAGTATCTTCAGAACGTTGTTTACACTTGGACCGGACAGACACTCTGGCTCAGTTTACGAGTTGTTCGTTCAACTGGAATTTAGCAGATCAATAACAACTTCAAAGGTCTTTGTTTTTCATTTCTTTGTGGAGTGGGCAGAGTTGTCGTGTCTCAAAGCAACTAGGCGAAAAAAAAATAATTGACGCAAACTCATTTTAACCTTGGTTAATCGTGCCTGTCCATGATTTGCGGACAAACTGAAATTCAAAACAATATTGCTATCGTCATACCTGCGGCATTTAGTTTCCGAGTTGAGCAGGCGAGGAAAGCATTAACACATTGATGTGTCTGGTTATCTTTTCATCAGGTAAAAAAGACTAACGAGGTTCAACTTTTGGCGTTTCGTAAAATTTTGCATCTCGCGATGACGAACTCAACATCGACACAGAACGCTACAAACAATTCTTCAGCGCCTCGAGAGGAAATTAGTGTAATGGGATTTTATGGAACAGACGAATTTCAGACGATTATCGTCGTTTTACTAACAGTTGTGATAGTCTTTGGTTTTCTGGGGAACTTAACAGTCATTGGCACTATTTTCCAACGCCAGCGAAACCTCAAGACCTCCAGTAACTACTTGATAATGAATATTGCTGCGGCTGATCTGTTTGTAGCGGTAATTGTCGCTCCACTCCGTTTCGTAGAAATGTTCCACGGATGGCCTCTCGGAGAGTTCCTCTGCCACTTCTTAGCTCCTCTCCAAGACGTTATTGTCTGCGTATCAGTGATCACACACACAGTGATTGCTTTGGAAAGATACCGAGGGATAGTACAGCCATTTAAAGTGAAGCTCTCCGTTCGCCGAACAAAACAAGCGATTGGAATTATCTGGGTGGTATGTTACATCGCCAGCGGTCTTCCCCTTGCTTTTATTGTAACAGTGACACGCGTCGGGGACGTTCAAGAGTGTAGAGTTCGATGGCCATTACATATTTTTCGACAACTTTACAAAGTTTTTCTTGTGATCGTGTTTGTAATCGTGCCGTTGGTGATTCAAACTTACTCTTACTCCTGCATTGTGAAAGTAGTCAACATTGAAATCACGGCTGTAAACGACTCCATTGATTTAGATGCCCCGGCAACTAGACTTGCGCAGAGTAAAGCTCGAGTCGTGAAGATGCTAATCTTTCTTGTCGTTGCTTTTCAATTGTGTTCCATTCCTCGCGTCTTAACCATGTTGCTGTGGGAATTTGGTGATTTTAAAGGCAATCTCAGTTTCCAATACGCTATTACAATAACTCTGATTACTTACTATCTTAAGCACGTGATTAACCCCTTTATCATCTTTGCAACGAGTGCAGAATTCCGCGGCAGTTGCGGATTATGTGTGATGTGCAAATGAGCGGCAAAATAGAAAGTCGGATTTCCTAAAATAAATCGTATTTAAAAACTGGATAGCACAGATTAGTTGATTGCGGCTCGTCAGTGATATCTCAGAGACTGTTATCATGGAAATGCACAAGAAAAAACATAAACTAATAAGGGTAAAAAAAAAACGGCAAAGGCAGTCTGTCCTCAAACTGTAAACCACAGAAGGAAGTACGAAGACAAAACTTTTGTCGTCTCTGTTTTCAGTGACTAAAAACAGAAAAGAAGAGAAGCCGTCTCTGATGAATACATAATTTTACTTTTTATAATAGACCATAGTCATAAACGTTCAGTTGGAAGTCACTTGGAGTACAATGTATGTGGGTAAAGTAATTAAAACTGGTATTAAATGTCACTCAGAACACACCCTTCTAAATATTTGCGCAGCTGAGGTAAAAATAATTTGAATATCTTTGAACTAGCAATATCGTGGAAAACGAAATTTGTGACGGACCAGCTGGTGCTCAAGTTAAGCCAAGTCGATCTTTATTTTTTACACAAAATCGTATCATATTTACGCTATAGTGTTCCTAAGAGTCACGTTACTCAGTTGACACATGAAGAACTACTAACTTAAGAAAAATAAAATGCGGTAACAACTTATACTATCAAGCTTTCTACTATTTATAGTGTGTTAAAAAAATAATTTTTGTAGTTGAGGTTCTACCGCAGTGCACTGATCCACAACCACATCTGCATAAAAGGATACTGATCCCGGGGGGTACTCCCGGAAGAACTGGGTGGGGGTGTGCGGCCCGCTTCCCAAAACCCTTACCCTATTTATGACCAAAATCTGCGATATTTCCTACCCTATTTATGAACTGATCAATAATTCGAAACTCTATTTATGACTGACCCTTCAATCAAAACCCTGTTTCAGGTCTTCGTTTTCTTATAATTAGTTCCCTAGTTCAGACCAATGTTTAATTACCGTAAACATAATTTGTGAATGGCTTTTGTTGATTTTCTTTGCGGTAATGATGAAAAAGTGGCTTCTTCTTGAAAACATACCCATATCAAGGCTAGAGTGCAAAAACCATACCCTATTTATGGCCAAAATGGCCAAAATCAGCTGAAATCGATACCCTATTTGTGACCAAAACGGCTGAAAAACCATAGCCTTTGGGGCCGCACATACCTATATAGCCCATATAGGGGAGTACCCCCCTCCCCGGATACTGATAAACGAAAGTGCCACATCTTTTGTTTGAAGGAATTGAGCCCTAACTGATGAAGATATCATTCGAAACCCTTTTAGCCGAGATCAGTTTGTTTGTAATGCGAGTATGAGGTTAGCCTTTCAGAAGGAAGTCATAGTACTCTAATGGCGCCGTTTAAGAATAGATTATTTTAGGTCAGTTATTAGAATAGAGACCCTTACCTTATACTAGGGGGTATTGGAATAGGAGCCACGTTTTTCAGAAAAGAGACGCTCATAATCGGACGGATGGCGCAAAATTGAGTCATCACGATACGTAAACTTATCCCGCATCTTCTGGTAACACTAATGTGGCTGCCATGAAAACTATAGAACATGCTAACATAAAATGGAAGTGTGGACAACTTAAAGAGATCCCGTAAAGGCTCAATGGCTTAAGACGGGTAGGGGAAGAGGAAAGTGAATTAGAAACAAAGATTTAAATGAAGCGAGGAAGAGAAAGTACGAGTGGGTAATTTAACGAGTAAGTAATGCCGAGAGTGTGACAACAAAATATAGGCATGCAACACGTACGCATGGTTTTAATTTTCTCTATTTTTAATAATTTATCTCTTCCTTCTGATATCAAATTAATTCAATAAATTCAGGTGTTAACGTTCCTGTAATAAAGCATTTTGTTTTCGTTCTGTTCAGTATTTGATGAAGAAAAATAAAATCATGAAAAAAAAATTCAACCAGCGTGAAGTACAGTTTGCCTGTGATTTTGCTGTGCAGCCATGACGAACGTTTTGTAGTTTATGCTTAGTTACTTAGTTCTAATTAAATGAAAAAGTGCTTACCAGGGAGACGGGAAAAAAAGGTTACAGGTAAAGACTGCACACGAGCCAGGTGGCCCATCCGGCCGACGCGTATCTCCGGTTTCTGTTGCATGAAACGACTTGGAGTATTTCTACTCCCCCCTGGATGGGATGCTAGTCCATCGCAGGGTTACCCCCCAGCATTAAATTCGTTGGTGCTCATTTACACACCTGGGTGGAGAGAGATACTGTGAGAGTAAAGATTTCGCCAAAGAACTCAACTATGTCCCCGGCCAAGGCTCGATCTCGGACCATTCGATCCGGAGTCAAGCACACTAACCATGAGGTCACCGCACCTCAACAACTGAACAACAACAAAACGACGAGCACTGTGGCTTCTGGCAAGAGAATATACTTCTGGTCAATCATCAGAGAAAACATTAAATTACTCAATGCCAATTTTTGACTCCTAGTCCGTGATCATCTGCGTTTTACTTTGAAAACGTATCCTCGTGTACCAAGGGTCACCAAAATATGATTTGAAAACAGAGCATGCCAATCACCCGGGGGGACCCCCATATAAAAAGGACGGTGGTGCTCGTCGGAAATTTTGAAAACAGCCCCTAAGAGGTACCAAGATCCTGTTTTGTGGGCGTGGCTTGAAATTTATTCTCCCCTAAGAGACACCAATTCTTACATAACACATTATCTCCTGTCATATTCTTTTCCACTCAATACCCTAAAGGGTGCTGCCAAAGCTCCCGCTCCCGCCTCCCGCTGTCGATCCTTTGACGCTACACGCCCTAAGGGGTACCAAAACCTCTTTTTTAACCCCTAAAATGTACGACGAGCACCCCCGTCATTTTTATACGGGAGTCTCCCAGAGGCCAATCAGTTCCTAAACTGAAACTTCCCGCAGGGTTGCTTCGCTCTTATACATGGGTCTGTGATAACATGGAAAGCAGAAATATAGATATGTAAATCAGCTGCCAGTTATCAGAGTGTGCGTATCTTTAATTCTTCGGTTTACACTGCTTGAAGCAACCTAGGTGTAACTACCCCCTCCCCGAGGTGGAATACTAGTCCATTGCAGGGTTACCCCATAATTCTTTCACCCCCTCACAAACGTGTTTCCAAAACTCTAAGACTAATACTTTCCAAAACTCTTAACGCTAAGCCACAAGTGACACTTGGGTAATTTCCCGAGCTTCCTAGCGCGCGTTCTCAAAAACACGTTTGTTTGCAAAAACGTGATGCGAACGTCAGATTTAGAGCAGTAGATAGATAGATAGATAACCTTTATTTTAAAACGATGAGCAGTCAAAGTTGTCTTGCTAGTTTTGTTCTACAATGGAGCACTTTCCTTAGATTCCTTTAGATTTCGATTACCCTCGTCGCTGGACAAAGGTAATTTGTAGCTCAATTTCGTTGTTTTTTTTGTGCCTTCGTAAGATTTTCATGTATTTCGTCAAGACAAGCCGACTCGCAAACAGTTCGTTTTCTCATCGATTTCTTTGTCATGTATTACTTCCTAGTTTTACGCTTCTTTTTTTAACCTGCTGAGGATATTAAAAGGAAGTTGTAATTCTCCCAGCATTGTGATACTGAATTGTTTGGATCGAATTTGGACCTATTTATCTTGCGAAACGTCGCCGGTAACAACAATCAAGCCATCGAAATAACTTAAGAGGGATTACCTTGGGTATTAGGCCTATATGGGGGATTCACTCTCTTACCTTGATCTTCTCATAATCGAATTTATTAAAGAAGTCATGCCACCTGGCGATACCTCAAGAGTTCTTTTTAGCGACAACTTTTAAGCTCTTTTTAATTCAGCTAGAGCTAGGCGCTAATTCAGCTTTCTCACGATCTAAGAATTGATATATCCTTTCGGCGCCTTTTCAGAAGAATGCATTTACAGCTGAGTTCTGTGAAATGTTACCAAGCCTTTGCATGGAAGCGAACTTTGGTTTGTCTTTGTGATGACAAATATAAGAAACAAATTTGCGTGATATAGCAGGATTATTTATACAAGCCCTTATGCATGATGATACTGGCAGACAAGCACAGTTCACTACCAAGCCTCGCTTTTAAAATGCAAAAATTTTATCGTGGACAAATTCCCACAGCGGCAAAGATGAAAAGAATACCCTCGTGAAAACAACACGAAATTGCCAGAGGTTTGAGAAAATTTCTCGTAAACGAGGCTTGGTGGTGAATTTTGAGCGTGTGACGTAATCATGCATAAGTCTTATTCTAAAGTAGAAAGGTTCGTACCATTAAAAGAAAAAACAACTCTAGCCTCGCTTCAGATCAAAGGCCCGATCGCTAAGCAAGTGTTGGTAGAGACCACGGGTGATTTCAACCAAGAATACATGTTTTCGAACTCAGTGGAGAAGCGGTGAAGATGAAGCTGGATTGGCGCTGTACGCTAAACATCACTTTCTCTCTCCTTTTTCCCATCATGCATGTCTGGCGAGCTAATGTCACACAATTTCCTCAGTTCCTTCTCTTCTGAGGCCTCGCTATTGAGTACCTTAGATTTCTGTGACATATAATGACTCATACTATTAATAAAGTCCGAATTTTTGGAACAAAAATTCCCACAAGGAAAACAGTTCTTTTTAAACTCTGTACTCATCGCGAAGAGAATAAATGGATTCAAGACATGTTTTAAATAGAACAGGATGATCGAGGTGAGGTTAGCGACGAACAAACTTTCCCTGTGCGATTCTTTATAACTCAAACTGACGAATTCACTGAGAAGCATATAGACCCCACGTGGAATGAAACACACTTGGAAAACAGCTACAATTATGATCAACATCTTAACCAAATGTGCTTTCTTCCGGATTTGGTTTCTCCTCTGCTCCACAGTGCGACTACGGGAAATTGATTGTGCTGAGGCATCCTCCCCCTTTATCGTTGCAACAATCTTCACGTAAGTTACAGTTTGAGTAATCAGAGGAACAAGTATAAAAAATGCCACGAGGTATACTTCGAAAATCACTCGGCTCGTCTTTAATGGCCATCGAGCGCGACAACGAGTGACACCTTTTTGCTCCACTTGCTTCAAAACTAAGGCCAACGGTAAGCCTATTACCAGATAGCAAACCAAGCAGATGAAGACTATCGCTATCTTGGCGCTCCTGAGAGACAGTTTTCTCTTGAACGGTGTCACGATTCCACGGTGCCTTTCTAACGCTATCACCGTATGAGTGACAGCTGAGATGCACACGATCACATCCTGCAGTGGTCCAAAAAATCGGCACAAAAACTCCCCCAGCGGCCACCCGACGAACAGTTCTGCCATTCGGAGCGGAGTCAGGATAATCGCCACCAAAAGATCCGCCACAGCGATGTTCATTATGAACAAATTGCATGGAGTCCACATGCTTTTCTTTGCAGCAACTGTAACAATGACCATGACGTTACCTATCAAACCTGCTAATATAACGAACGCCATTAAACTGATCATGACAAGAATAACGTTTTTGTCGCTTTGATTGGTTGGCGGGAGCTGGGTATCATTTGGATTTGACGGCAACAAGGACGCATTTACTGTTGGCGGGAATTTGTAGACGCTTGGTGTTGCAGTCATGGCGGGAAGCTTACTTATCAAAATCTCGACTGGAACGTCTGCTGAGCGACTTCAATCAAGGAAGTTACCTACAAGAAAACATTTTCACAAATAAGCAGGACAATACGTCAATAATTTATGTTTTAAATTCAATATTTCTGTCATTAGTCATTTTTAGTTAATGTTTGGAGCCAGTAATATTAGTGAAATGATATAAATCTAGCTTGTCGACCTGAAAATCACACTGTCCGTGTTCCCAATCAAACTTCTCAATAAGAGCTTTTAATCTACCTATATAAATTGGTCGGCAAAAAGCTAAGCGGTTTCAGCTCTCATGAGCATGACCTCTAAGTCAAAACCTAAACCGTGACAACCTTTTTTCGTTGATGGAAACCTAAATATAATAGCTCATAAATATTTTCGTTCTTTGGCCATTTGAATTTAAGAAGGAAAACATAAATCAGTGTACTTTTATAGTGTTGCTATATAAGTGCACTGAAGTCGTTACAAAAGGGTAACACATACACAAGGTGGTTATGTCAAATAACTGAAAAACTCTGGAACACTTTTTTAATTTTTTTTTTTT